CCCAGCTTCCCCTTTTCTAAGGAAGATAAAATTCCCTCTAGAGTCGTAAACAGATTCTTGCTTTGCTTCATAAACCAAATCTGTGTCACATGCAGAGAGGATGGTCACTACCAGCTTTTGTAGCAGAGATGAATGTCGTGGGGAGCACCGCCCACCCGCAGAGACGCATGCTCAGTTGCCATAAATAGCGCTTCCCATCTGCAGACATGAGGAACCAAGCCGGTGCCCAAAGGTCAGAAGGAGTGCCGAAATGCTGCTTGAGGGGGTGGTGTTGATATCCTCAGCCATTTCTAAATCCTGTTTCCTAAAGTTTGTGAAATAAATGATTTCTAGGTTCTACCAGTTGCCTGGGCCCGCAGATCCATTTCACAGAACAGTCCTAGGGGATTAATGCGGGGGTTTTTGTTTCTTTGTTTTGTTTTGTTTTTAGAAAGGCTCACTCTGTAGACCAGGCTGGTCTTGAACTCAGAGATCTGCCTGCCTCTGCCTCCCGAGTGCTGTGACTAAAGGCGTGCGCCACAGTGGGAACATTTAACATGTGTCTGTTGGTAACTTACAGACCAGCCCACAGGTAATAAAAGGGACAGAAGTTGTTGCCAATTTGAGCAGCAGAATTATAACAAGCTTGGTTTAATGAATAGACACCAGCACCTAGCAATTAAAGAATGTACATGCTTTTGTTAAGGATGTACTAAAATATAATAGAGAACAGAACACAAAAACTTAAAAAAAAAACAAAAAAAAAAACTTCACTCAATGAACACAACCAGGGAGGAGAACCTTCCAGAACCCCAGGGGCCTCTGAGCTTACCTCCCATCTTACCACAGTCCACCACAGTTAGGTATCCACCCTGCGCTTCATTAATTCACATGCTGCGAATTAATTTTGCCTGTTTTTAAACTTTCTAGGCAGGAAATTTCAGGAACCAGCACTGACACTAGAAAACCAGACATCGCCCGACCGGACCGCGGGCTGACACACGGGTCAGCCTGACATCAGCCAGACCGGACCGCGGGCTGACACACAGGTCAGCCTGACATCAGCCGGACCGGACCACGGGCTAACACACAGGTCAGTCCGACATCAGCCAGACCGGACCGCGGGCTAACACACAGGTCAGCCTGACATCAGCCGGACCGGACCGCGGGCTAACACACAGGTCAGCCTGACATCAGCCGGACCGGACCGCGGGCTAACACACAGGTCAGCCGGACCGGACCGCGGACTAACACACACACATCAGCCCGACCGGACCGCGGACTAACACACAGGTCAGCCGGACCGGACCGCGGACTAACACACAAGTCAGCCCGACATCAGCCGGACCGGACTGCGAGCTAACACACACAGGTCAGCTGGACCGGACCGCAGGCTGACACACAGATCAGCCCGACCGGACCGCGGACTAACACACAGGTCAGCCCGACATCAGCCCGACCGGACCGCGGCCTGACACACACAGATCAGCCCGACCGGACCGCGGGCTAACACACACTGATCAGCTTGACCTGACCTCGGGCAAATGGCAGGCTAACACAGGTGCGCGCTAACACAGGTCAGCCTGGCCCTCGGGCATGGACTGTGTTTACGGGAACTTTCACTAACCTGCCTTATTTGGCTTCCGAAGCCGCAAGGCTTTCTGCTTCCGGATCAAACAGAGACACTGTGGCGACACAACTGTGCCTTTTTCTTATTAAAAAGTTAATAACCTGCTCTACTTACCGACAGCTGCATCAGCGGGAAATGCCGAACTTGTGGTTTTCAGCGGTGCCAAGTCTGTGTGGCTCATAAAAACCTCAAATTCATTAAGGGTTCATCCTGGCCTCCTTCTCTTGGTTGAGAGTACCCCATTTTCAACTTTTGGGCGCTTGTCCAGGGTTGGTACTCCCCTCACACCCCAGGAGTGCTCCAGGATTGGGGCGAGTCTGCTCCAGTCTGATCTTCCTCCTGGTGAACGCGTGCTCTTCTGGTAATCTTCGTTCAGAAGCGATCAGAGATTCCAGGCCCTGGGGACACCTCAGCAGTCTTCGGGAAGGGCGATTCCATTAGTCTGAGGTCCTCTAGATAAACTGATTGGTCTAAGTGTCTGAGGAAATCGTGGTGGCCACTTGTGGTTTGTCTACTTTCTTGTATTTCTCACTTTTCTTATCTGTGTCTGTTCAAGCCTGTCTGTCACTTTCTACCTTCCGCTGTCCAAGGGGACATTTGCCTTCTTTGCCACCCTCTGGTCAGTCCCTTTTTGCCTTTGAATGGACTGACCCTAAAACTAGCCAATTGACTTGGACCTGCTTGCTACAAGGGTTCAAAAATTCACCCACTCTGTTCATTGAGGCCTTAGGGAGAGAAAGACCTGGCTGCCTATTGGGCAGATCACCCAGAACTCCGGTAGAGACACCACCTTTGACCTCCTGAGTCTTCTGGGAAAACCGGGTTACCAATGTCAGCTAAGAAGGCCCAAATTTGCAGACAACTGGTCACCCATTTCGGATACCAACTAACCCAAGGTAAGAGACAGCTATCCAACCAGAGGATTTAGAAGATCACACCGTAATCTGGCCCCAGACCTAGAGGCAAGTCTGTGAATTTTGGGGGGCAACCCATCCTGTAGACTCTGTATTCCACGCCTGGCTAAACTTGCCCTGTTTGAGGCTCTCAACTTGAGCACCAGAGGGGAAGGGTGGAGATCAGCTGTGGCCCTGCTGCCCTCAAGGGGTCAGAGGCTTAGCCGCGGCTGGTATCTACCCCTGCCTTGGCCCTGCCAGATACAGAAAAACCTTTCCCCTTGTACATAAAAAAAGGAATGGCGAAGAGGGTACTTACTCAAAAATTGGGACCCTGGCAGCAGCCAGGAGCCTACCTCTCCAGACGACTTGACCCAGTGGAGGCAGGATGACCCCTTTGTTTAAAAATTATCCTCAAAGGACCCCCACGTCAGTGGATCTCGAGTGCCCAAATACCCACTATCTGCCCCTGCTATTTGGACCAACCCCTATCAGTTCTCACGTGTGGCTGCTTTAAATTCTGCCAGTGCCCCAGCAGATGCTCCCTTATGCAGCCCGGACATGACTGATCACAGACAGGAAGGAGCAGCCGAGTAGTCAATGGCAAAACCACAGTCACAGACCCAGTGCTCCTGCCAATCCCACTCACGCGGTTGAACTGCTTGCTTCCCAAGGGGACTCCTGCTTGCCCAAGGAAAGAGTTTTATACCGACTACTGCTTTGTGTTTGCCACCTGTGGAGTCGTAGATTGGGGAACAGAAATCAAAACTCAAAGCCAGTTTCTACAGATGGGAAGCCACATTTGTTATAAACTTGCTAAGTCTTGAGGCCAGAAGGACCAGAGCAGCTGGGGGCTACCTCCTCCTGCGCAGCTTAGATGCTGGAGCCTTGGATGGGGTGGGGGAAGTGAAAGAAAGAAGGATGGACAAACAGAAAACAATATGGGAGGGGCAAGAGAGTAATGTGGCGAACGTGAACCAAGCATCGGGAAAGGATGCACATGTGAGGGTCTGGTGGGCGCAGGAACCTCAGCTCTTTTATTATGTTCAACCCAAGGGGAGGGGTTAGTTCATCAGTACGAGGGCTCTGTCTGGAGCCAGGTCAGGCTGTAAACCTTTGGGAGGAGGAGGAGGCTGCAGCTGCCGCTTTGCACACACCGGTCGGTCATTCACAAACACTCAGTACTTGCACACACTCAACACTGGCACCCAGGCCCAAGGAAGGCTCTGTCACTTCCGTGGGTCTGAAGCACTGGTCCTTGACATGGCTACGCCCACATCAACAATAAACGTTCACTTCATCCGTCCTTTACACACTCACTCGGGGCTTCCTCTGCTTCCCACAGTGGGCTTGTCACCTGTTTCAGGGGGCAAAGCAGGCAGGCAGGAGGTGGAGCTGGTCTCACTGCATTCTGGCATGTGGTCTTTTGGGGGTTGTGGGCCACACACTGCTGCTGCTTCATCGCTGTTTGCTGATTTCAGGTATTGCCAGACAGCTGTGGGCAATGGCCCCCACCTGCCGCCTGCAGGCCAGCTGCTCCCTGCCCCCAGGGCTGATGGACAGGCCTGAGAAGACCAGTGCTTCCCCACCACATGTGGAATGGTTACCAAAATGACCCACTGCAAAGGTAAGACACAGCTCTCTGACAGTGTCACGCTGAAGTTAAAGACCGGACCCCAGGGAGAGCAGGGAAACCAGAGAAACAAAACGAAGACTACGGATACTCGAAAATAGCCAGCACTGTGCCCCTGTGGATGTGTGATATATAATATATTGCTTTGACTGTTTACATAAGAAGAGAAAAAAAAATCTCAAAATCAGTGAGATAGCATCCAGCTTTAGCCAGAAATGGTCCAGAAAGTAAAGAATAGCAATTTCTGGCAGCCAGGTGTGGTGACGCAGATCTCTGAGTTCGAGGTCAGCCTGGTCTACACAACAAGTTCCAGGACAGCCAGGGCTACACAGAGAAGCCCTGTCTTGAAAAGCAAAAGAAATCAAAAAGACTAGTAATTTCTGAAGGGCGCAGCTCAGCTGGTCAAGCGCCTGCCTAGCTGGCACTGAGCACGCAGGCCCTGGGCTCCACCACAAAACCAAATGGCATCCCAGCATTTGGGAGGAGCAGGCAGGGAGATCAGAGGTTCAAGGCTATACTTGGCTACACAGCAAGTTCAAGGCCAGCCTGAGACCTGTGAGACCCTGTCAGAAGGAAGGAAGAACTTGGGCCATCGGCTGATGAGGTGACTCAGTGGGCAAAGGCGTTGGTTGTCAGGGCTGATGACTGCAGCTGAGTCCCGCGGCCCCATGCGGTGGAGAGAACTCACTCCCACAGGCTTTCCTCTGACCTCTGCACCTCACCTCCCTTCTCTCCCACCCCTTTCCCTGCCTGCTCCCTACCCACCCCTACCCCCAGGGGAGGCAGTTCTGAGCTGAACAGCAGGCTGAGCAGGCCAGGAGGAGCAAGCCAGTAAGCAATCTTCCCTGACCTCTGCTTCAGTTCCTACACTCTTTTCCTTCAGTGACGGAGCGTGGCATGGGAGTGTAAGGTGGAGCAAACCCTTTCCTCCCCGTGGGCTTTAGGCCACGATGTTTAGTCCCAGCAATAGAAACCTTAAGCAGGACAGGGAGGGCATGACCATAAATACTTCAAAGGCAGTCTGACTACATGTCCACTTAGCAGAACAGCAGCAGTAGTTGCCTCCACAGAGGTCACAGCCTATGACCTTTGAAGCCACAGGCTTTTGCCAGTTTTAGAGTGCCAAGCATGAATTGCCTCCTGTGGAGCAGGCCCCGGTATTTGGTTACCCCGACACCCTTCATGGCACTAGCGCAGCTGTGGGCACATCTTGATTGGCAGGTCGGGATTGTAGCATGAAGGGCTGTAATATCACTGATGACTTTTCTTCCCCAGATGCCTGCACTGTGAAAGCTAGGCAACAGGAGGAAGTTTTCAGGTCAGTCCAGCTGGATTTCTCTACATCGTGTAATCAGTGTGTTGAATTTGAAGGGAGTCATCCATTCATAAAAGTATAGTTACATAACAACATAGGTGTCCCATAGAAACACTTCCCCGACTCTCATGCACCATCAGTGGGACACAGGCACACTTCCAAGTGGTACTGCGCTGTAAGACAATCAGTTTGCAAAGCGGTGTGCACAGTGGCTCCTACTGTTGATATTTACAAATAATACATGTAAAAAAGAGCACAAATCGTGTGGGTCTAAGCCGGTACCACTACACGGTTTCTAAGTTCGTAGAAAGGCTGGAAGGAACACAGGGTGGGGCTCCCCTGGAGAAGAGGGAAGACCGGCAGGAAGGAGACATTTCAAGTCTTGCTTTATGAAGCCTTCACGGTTGAGATCTTTCTCCAGAATAGCTATGGACATATTTGTATAATTAAAATATTTTAAAGTGCTTCGAGCCCCAGCCGGTGCTGAGATGATGTCTCACAACTAATGACATGATATTATCTGTCCACCACCAGGGATAATTGCCCTAAGCGTGCCGAGTGGCTGTGGTCCCTGCATAAGGCTGTGCAAGCGTAGCCAACTGCTAGACAAGGAAGTACTCGGCAAGGTGATCTCCTTCTGCCTGTGAGCTCCATTCTCCCTTGGGTAGATGGCTGCAAGCCAAATACAAGGGGCCAGGCCTCCCACTCAACTGCTTGGGCTTATCATCCACCACAAATGCAAACCAACCACACAGTGTAGCTCAGGCTGCAAGTCCGCCAACTCAAGAAACCCGCCCTGTGGAACCCAGGACCAACACCGACCACATCCCAGCTGGGGCCGGAATCCAATACACCCTCTCCTCGGGCGGGGCTCTGCTTAGGAAGGCAGCAACCTGAGCAGCCACTTCTCAAGGTTGTGAGTCTCCCGTTCACGGCCTAGCTGCACAAAAGCTTCCAAGAAAAGATGGCACTCCAACAGGGCAGATCTGGCCTTCCAACTTCACACTCAGTGCCTTCCGTCAGCGTGCAGACCACCTGATCAGCATCCCCCAGGCCACACGTTTATTTTAGAAAACGGTGACGCCACTTCTAATGTTTACCTGACAATTAAACTAACAGTGATGCTGCCTCGGATCCAGTCAAAGGCCTGATGCACTGTGGCACTTTGTCCCCAGACCCTCTAATGTCTTGCGTTTTTTGGTTTATTTTTTATTTTTACATGTATGAGTGTTTGTCTGCATTCATGACGTGTGTACCACATACATGTCTGGTGCTCATGGAAGCTAGAAGAGGGAGCTGGATCCCCAGGAACTAGAGTTACAGATGGTTGGGAGCCGACATGTAGGTGCTAGGAATTAAACCTACGCCTGTGCAGGAGCAGCCAGTACTGAGCTTTGTCTCCAGTCCCTCTCATTTTAATTTTAAGCCACCTGGAAGCCTCTACAAACAAACTGAATTTTAAAAAAAAACAAAAAAAACTTGCTTGTTTGAGTCAAGGTCACCTTGTGAAGACCAGGCTGTCCTGGAACTCCCGGCAATCTTCCTGTCTCAGTTTCCTGAATGTTGAGAGGACAAGCTTGCATTCATGCTAGACCCAAATACTTTTCTAAAAAAGTGGTCACATGCAGGGCTGGAGAGATGACTTAGTGGTCAAGAGCATTGGCTACTCTTCCAGAGGACCTGGGTTCAATTCCCAGCACCCACATGGTAGCTCACAACTGTCTGTAACTCCAGTTCCAGGGGATCTGACACCTTCACCCAGACACACATGCAGGCAAAATACCAATGAAACATAAAATAAGAATAAATAAATTATTTTAAAATGTTTTTAAAAAAAGTGATCACATGCAAAATTGCAGAGTTAAAGCAGCAAGTGGCTGAGATGTGCCTGGGAGGCAGGCGGGAGGCCCTGCGAGACTGCATCTGACCTCGTGACCAGGCTTGTTTGGGAGGTTGAATCCATCCTTGCAAGCTGCAGGAATGGGGATGCTGATGCAGTGATGGAGGAGCCCGTGGATGACGATAAAGGTAGTTGTCTAGTCAGGGTTTTTATTGCTGTGGTGAAACGCCATGACCAAGGAAGAAAGGGTTTATTTCCCTTACACATCCAGGCCACAGTTCATCACTGAGGGAAGTCAGGGCAGGAACTCAAGCAGGACAGGAACCTGGAGGCAGGAGTGTAGCAGAAGCTATGAAAGAACACTGCTTGCGGCTTCCTCAACTGACTTCTTGTCAACTTGTCACACATATGTGTCACCGTTAAACATCATTTTCTATTCTTCTCCATCCCCAAGATTTCAAATCACAATATAAAACAGCTGAACTTCCAGGGCTGGAGAGGTGGCTCAGAGGTTAAGAGCACTGGCTGCTCTTCCAGAGGTCCTGAGTTCAATTCCCAGCAACCACATGGTGGCCTCAAACATCCGTAATGAGATCTGGTGCCATCTTCTGACCTGCAGGCAAACACTATATACATAATAAATAAATCTTTAAAAATATCAACTTTTGTAGTGATATTTTATTTGTGCTGAAATGTGATATTTTATTTGTGCTTTAATAAACAAATCTTGGGGCTGGAGAGGTGGCTCAGAGGTTAAGAGCACAGGCTGCTCTTCCAGAGGTCCTCAGTTCAATTCCCAGCACCCACATGGTGGCTCACAACCATCTATAATGAGATGTGATGCCCTCTTCTGGCATGCGGGCATACATGCAGGCAGAACACTGTATACTTAATAAATAAATAAATCTTAAAAAAATAAATAAAATAAACAAAGCTTGCCTGGAAATCAGAGGAAAAACCGAGCCATTATAAGTAAACACAAAAGTCATGCAATGTAAGCACATGCCTTTAATCCTATCACTTGGCAGGCAGGGATCTGTCTGGATCTCTGTGAGTTTAAGGCCACATTGGGAACAGAGCCAGGTGTGGTGGCACACGCCTTAAATTCCAACACTAGTTAACCACAGAGGTCTGGAGGTCTGTACAGACTGACAGAAAGAGACAGAGCTGGGCAGGAAAAGGAAGTGATGTAGCTGGACAGAGAGAGCAAATCAGATGGCAGAACAGCAAGGCACATAGGTGTAGGTAGACAGGAGTAGCTCACATTTGGAAGCTGAGGTATCGGTGAGGTGAGGTTAGCCGTGGCTGTTGCTATTCCACTAATCTCTCTCAGACTTTAACCCCAATTTCTGGCTCTGTGTTTTTTTATTTAATAAGACTGTTTAGAAATTCATCTACAAACTTTCAAAAGTCCCAGATTTACAATTTCAAACACTTTAAAAGTTCAATCTCCTTAAACATCCAGTCTCTTTCAAAGTGTAAGTCTTTCTAAAATATCCATAACCTCTCTGAAACTCTTGTCTCTCAACTGTGGGCTCCTGGAAAAATCAAAAAAGTGAAATACTTTCTTACTCCTAGAGGAATGAGCCAGGGTACAGCGACAGTCAGATCAACAGTGTAAGCTCCAATGCCAGACTGCAGTACTCACGATTTTCAGGACTCCAAAGAGCTTGTCATGCAGCTTGTCTCCTGAGCTCAGGCCAGCTCCACTCCATGGATGCTGCTGTCCTTGGTGACTGTCCCATGGTACTGGCATCTCCAAAACACTGTGATCTCTGCACCTGGGCTGTATCATCACCCACAGCCTCTCCCGGGCTCTCTTAGGAAGTCTGACCCTGCCACATGGTTCCACGCCTCCACTTCTCTCCATGACCCCTTCATCCTGGGGCTTCTCCTGCCCCCAGACTGCACCTTCACCAACAGCCTCTCCTGGGTTCTCTTCAGGGACTCCAGCTCTGCCACACAGCGCCAAGCCTCAGCTATTCCCCAGGACCCCATCATGCTTCCAAAACCAGCACCGCCTGGGCGACTTGACACATTCCCGAGTTCAGTTGACACATGAGCTGCAGCCTCGGGCCCCTCTGGACCACAGCTTCTGTGTGCCGGCCTGAGGAAGTGCTTCCAGATTTCCACCCTCCACGATCCTCTTCTTAATCATGCCGGCCGATTGGTGCCCATTGTTCCACTTCGGTGGTTCTGGTCTCTTGTCAACTATGGCCCATTCTTCAGCCCTAGCTGACTCCAGAATCACAGATTCTTAACTCAAAATGTGCAGTGGCCCAGATAGTCTTGAAGTGACTCTCAAGCTTCCCTCCGGAACTTCACAAGCCAGGCCTCTATGTCTGCTCTGTTCTCAGCATAATCCTTTCATCTGCCAAGCCCACCGAACAGCCTGCTGAGACAGATCTGAGCACTCCTCCAGGCTGAAGTTCCAAAGTCCTTCCACAATCCTCCCCGAACACACAGTCAGGTCCGTCACAGCAATGATCCACAACCTGGGACCAATTTGTCTTAGGGTTTCTGTTGCTGTGATGAAACACCATGACCAAAAGCAACTTGGGGAGGAGAGGGTTTATTCGGCTCACACTTCCACAGCCCAGTCCATCACTGAAGGAAGTCAGGAGGGGACTCAAGCAAGGGAAGGGACCTGGAGGTGGGAACTGACTCAAAGGCCATGGAGGGGTGCTGCTTACTGGCTTGCTCAGCCGGCTTTCTTACAGACGCCAGGACCACCTGCCTAGGGGTGGTCCCGCCCACACCAAGCTGAATCCTCCTGTCAGTCATCAATCAGGAAAATGTACCACAGGCTTGCCCCCAGGTGCCAGTCTGGTGGGGACATTTCCTCAGTTGAAGTTCCTTCTTCCAAAATGACTAGCTTGTGTCAGGTTGACATAAAGTTTGTGAGCACAGCGTCACGTGATGGTGAAGGTGGAGTTTTCCCCGTCCCCAGTGTTCCATGAAGTCTTGCTCAGTACCGTTCAGGACACCTCAGGGCTCCGCGCCAAGACCACGCTGGGGACAGGCAACGGTGTTCGCAGGCCCCAGCTGAGCTTCTGCCCTCAGCCCTCACACTCAGTCCCACTTGGGGGTTCAAGGGAAGGAGCTGGCCTACACCACAGGCTGTGTGAGCCTGGCCAGCTCCTGCTCCTCAGGGACTGAGGCCCAGCTGCTGCCCACTCACCCAGGCAAAGATGAGATACTTCCTAAAACCACCCAGAGGCTTCGGCAGAATGAGCTCCAGAAGGTTTATATTCTCTTTCATCCTGAGTGAACCGTCAATGGAACATGGAATGGGGGGGTCAGACTCCAGGCTGACACTGTTGACTATACCCTAAATGTTTTCAGAAACGTGCTTTGCTGCATCCTGAAGCCTTTGGCATTTAAGACACACCACGGCAGAGGACACCCTGGATTAGAGGTGTGCACCATCCTGGAGTTAGAGGTGTGTACCACTCTTGTATTTTTTGTGGTGCTGGGTATCAAACCTGGGTTTTGTGCATAGGGGTAAGCTTTCTCCCAACAGAGTTAAACCCCCAACCCCCTCTCTGGGCTTTAGTCAGTGAAAAAGCAGAGAAAATGCAGAACTGTGTATTATCTATTCTGTGCAAAATATGGAAGAAAGATGAAGCATGGGGAGGCACACCGGCGCTCAGACTGAGGCAGGAGCATTGTGAGCCATTTTTACAAAACCAAGAGGAAGACACAAAGTACCAAGAGCACTCCCAACAGAAGGGGCCACTGTTAGGTGCCGGGCACAAAAGTGCTGTGGACCTTGTCCTCCTTTGGGGTACCACTTTGCACCTAGAAAAGAAGGGCTGGTCCTCACTGCCCTGCCCCTCAGCAGCCCTCAGAGCAGGCCCGAAAAGTGCCAGCTACAGCTCTCTTTGAGATGAATATATTTTTACAAGGAAAAGAAACTACACACACACACACACACACACACACACACACCAAGGTGAAGTCACTCTGAGTGACTCCAGACTGAGAAAGAGGCAGCCAGCCCACTAACTGGCTACACCCCATGCCTCACCCCAGGCCGCCTTTCCATATGTACAGCCCACCCCCACCCCCTCAGTTCCGGGTCCCCAGCCACCTGTTGGAGAGGAGCCGGCTGGACTAGCATGGCAGGCAGAGCAGCCTAGGGGCTAGAATCTTATCAACCCCCAGCTAGCAGGCTACGGCTAGCAGACCTGAGGGCCCGATGAGACAGCTGCCTGGAGCCCCCACTCCGCACCCCATGGGAGAGACCTTCACTCCAGATGTGCAGGCTGATACAACTTCCTCTCAAAGCCCTCTTTCGGAGCGGGCTTGCCCAGTCACCTGCAGCTGCTCCAGGGCATGGGCACGATGAGTGTCACTTCTCCCAGGACCCCCTGTAGATGGGGGGGGGGAGGTCTTTCCAGGAAACCATGCGGAGATGGGGGCTGCAACGTGGAAGACTTGGGAATCTGAGCATGGTCACGATCAACAATAAGTTACTTGCAAGACAAGGGTCTCACTCTAGCCCAGGCTGGCCTGGAACTACGTGAGCCAGGCTGGTCTCAAACTCATGGTCTGGAATTAGTGTTGACCACCACCCCTGGACTTTGGCTTTCCTTATCATATGAAGTATATTTTACAGGTACCTCAATTCCAGCTGAAATTCAAATTCACCCTGACCCTGCCATCTCCTTTATTTACCAGTTCATAAGAGTAAATTGACTTTTTTGTTGTTGTTCAAGTAAAAAAACGTGAAAACTGCTTCTCACTGCCCTCCCTGTCCCATCTGTCACTGAACATCCTCCGCTGCCACTGGCCCTGCCTTACCACTGGTGGCCAGGGCTCTGCTGGCCCCGTGATACAGCCTGTGGCAATCCTAGCAACCGGGGGCTCCTCCACTGGCTCGGGCACCCCTCCAGCTTCCCCTCACCCAGCCCTCCTCACCCTGCCCCTCCAGCTTCCCCTCCCCCTGCACCCCAACCCCCCACCCCACCCCCGCACTGACTGCTTCCCCAACTCCAAGCAAGCGCCCGGCCCACCTCGGGGCCTCCGTACTTTTTTGTCTTATGCTTGAAGCCTCTCAATAGAGACCTGCCTATTCTTCAGGTCTCAGAGCCCTTACCAGAGAGGCCTTTGCTAAGCAGGTAGGCAGCTTCATTTCTCCCCGCAGGACACACCAGTGTACCTTCTCATCCGTCCCTCTCCCACAACTAGGCTCTGTAAGGACAGAGCCCATGGCCTTACCCCCAGGACCAGTGACAGGCTCGACACATTTTAGTCTTTGGTAGATAGGGAGCTGAGTGAAGTTTCTGCTGTATGTAGCCTTGGCTTGGTCTGTGAGAGCTTGGAACTTGTGGTGATCCTCCTGCCTCAGCCTTCCTAGTACTAGGCTCACACCAGTGCACTGACTGCCACACCCAGCCTAACCTGTTAAGTGTGGTCTTTAATATCATAAATTTCATTGGCCTGCTCAGCCCAGCATGTAAACGAAGTCCCCTGCTCTTTCTCCCTCAGCCTTCTCCACGTTATCTTTACTAGCGTTTATCAAAACATGCGCAGTCCCAGCACTTGGG